GCACAGGTTTAGGGTGACACGGGGACAAGTTTAAAAGATGTGCGAGGCAGGTCTTTGTTATAAAGAGGGTGGTAGGTGCTTGGAGAGGTGGTAAAGAAGCAGATACAATAGAAACATTTAAGAGGCATTTAAGAAAGAAACATGAAGAGGCAGTGAACATTGCATTATGGATCATGTGCAGGCAGATGGGATTAGTTTAGAATGACATCATGGTCAGCACAGACATGGTGGGCCAAAGTACTTGATAATAGGCTGCACTGTTCTAATATTATGGCACTCCATTGGTTACAGGTTGCCATCCAGAAAATGCTCCCCTTATCCCAACTCTCATATTAGTTTGCCAAGCTCTAGCCATGTTAATATAATACCTCCATTAAGATGTGGCCTTATATCTTAAGTAGCCTAATGTTGGTACCTTATCGAATGCCTTCTGAAAATCCTACAAAAATAGCCTGATCCCTGGTTGGATCCAGCAGATATTGTTCTTAGTGTCTTGAATGCACTATGAATTCTTCCTCGTGGCTATGATATTTTGATTGTTCAAATCTACATGAAGATTACAGTCACGCATGATTAATGTACTGAGTTCGTTAGATGCCACCATTATCTCCTGATTTATTCTCCATCTCACTGTATAGCTACTGTCAGGTGGCCTAAAGACTCCTTTGAATAGTATCTTTTTTGCCTTTTTATTTCTTACCTCCACCCATATGGATTCTACAACTTCTAATTCAAAATCACTTGTTCCTATTTGCACTTATCCATCCCAAAGTAAGAATGTTACCCCACCTCCCTGTTCTTCCTCAGGTTAAGGGGTAAAACCTTGGCAGATGGAACATAATGTGGGAAAATGAGCGGTTCTGCACTTTGGCAGCAAGAATAGAGGAGCTGAATATTATTGAAATGGTGAAGGACTGCAGAAAGCTACAGAGGGATTTGGGAGTCCTTACCAATAAATCACAAAAAGTTAGTATGCAAGTTCAGCAGATAATAGGGAAGGTAAATAGAATGCTGGCCTTTATTTCATAGGCAATTGAGTGTAAACATTAGGGAGATTTTACTAGAACTATACAGCATCTGGTCAGAAAACAACTGGAATGCTGTGTAGAGTCTTGGGACGCATATCTAAGGCAAGATATACTGGCAGTGGAGGCAGTCATGAGAAGGTTTATGAGCTGATACCATGGATGGAGGACTGTCTTAGGACAGGCTGAGAATTTTGGGCCAGTACTCATTGGAATTGAGAAGAGTAATAGGCAACCTTATTGATGCTTGCAAGATTCTTCAGGTACTTGACAGAGTAGATGCAGAAAGGTTTTTCCTTGTGGGAGAGTCTAACTCAGAATAAGGAGTTGGACATTTCATATGGAGATGAAGAGGAATTTCTTCCCTCAGAGGGCAGTAAATCTGTAGAATTCTTTATTGCAGAGGCTGTTGAGGCTTGGCATTAAGTATATTCAAGGCTGAGATATACAATAGCAGTAAGGGAATTGCAGGTTATTCGGGAAAAGGCAGGAAAGTGAAGTTGAAGATTATTAGATCAGCCACAAACTCATTAAACGATGGAGCAGACTTGATGGACTGAATGGCCTACTTGTGCTCCTACATCTTATGATCTTGGTTCATACATGGAATTTCTCTAGCCTTACTGTAACAAGTCAAAAAAGAATTATTCCCAAACTTCCTTTGACACATTACACTGTAGATATTTCCCAATTTCAGAGCTCATTTGCAAAATGTGTCAAAACATGAAAACAAATCTTTGTACAAGGGAAATCCCTGCATTTTTCAATTTAACTGTTTATTAAAATATCTGAAAAGTAACAAATCCATTGTGAAAAGTTTGTTTCTCTAAAATACTGCTCATTGTTTTGAATTATTTACAACAGAATTCCATTGAGTTCCTGACATTATTCATTTGTAGTTTAACCTCCCATTTGAATTGCATTCAGTGTACACACCACATTCATTCTGCAAAGAAGTACAATCATGTTGCAAGCAAAGCACAATCACCTTATTCATGACCAACATAGAACAATTACACCTAAATTTACAGAAGGATGGCAGAATGGTTACTATGCAGTGATTGCATTAAAGAATTTATAAAATTTCCTTAACTAATGAAGCCTAATACAATACTCACGAAACTAAGATAAAATTATAAACATCAAATAATCTGCTTCTTTTACAACATATAGGGTGTTGTAAAATTTACTCTAATTAGAAATTCACAGGGTAATTTGCTTGTTTTCAGTCAGTGTTGAAAGTCAGTAAATGCAGTAGCCACTGGACTTCATTGTTGACGCATGAAAATCGTAATCCAGAAGTAATTTGTTACAAAAGCACATTGTGTGAAGCAGATTTCAAACAAATGCAATAAAAACAGATTAGCAGGGTACTCTCCTAGCTCTGGCTGAAGTTAAACTTCCTTTATTTTACATGTATCTTCAATCTCTAAAATTATTTATTTTATTGAATACTATCTCCAAGGGATAAATTATTCCTCCAACTCGATCTCCTCCCCCAAAAATATAGTGAACGCATTGCTCAACGACAAGATGACGATACTGAATGGAACAATCTTGTGTTATCACTGGTTTTCCTCAACTAATGTTGTTCAAAATAATCCAGTCTCTTTACTGCCATCAATAGCATATATGTTCTGTTCAACTCATTTTTATGCCAACATAGACAACATGACATCTCCTTCCAGCCTACATAGTTACTTCAAGATGTCTTGTAGTTCCATTCTTGATCCCCTATTTTTCACGGGTCATCTCATTCAATGCTTGCCAAACCCTCCAAATCATATCCTCAATTCCAGACCTCCATCTTGAAATTGTGTAGTTCTGGTGCACTGGTTAACCCTGAACTGAAATTCAAATCTCGTATTTAACATGTCTCCATCTCCATCAAGTAGCCTGCTTCGATCTTCATCTCATCACCCCAAACTGTTATTTAACCGATTAACTACATTTAAGTTAGTCCACTCCAAGCTGGACTTTTTCCACTGATGCCCTTACAAAGGTCTTCAATTTTCGCCTTACATAATTACAATTTGTCCAAATTGATACACCACCCTACAAAAACAAAAAAGAGAGATCCAACAATAACTTCCTTTAGAGCAGTGTTATGCTAGATGGAGTTGATCTTCTAAAATGTTGACACTTTAGTGCAAATATTTGTCCCATTCTTCCTATGACCAGGTTTATCCTTCATTAGCAGTGGTGGTGGTGGGGGCTGGGGGGAGGGGAGTGGGTGGTGGTGGTGATGATTGGTGTGTGAAATAGGTCAGGCGTCCTGCCCACCCACTGTAAGTAAATAAATAATTATTTACAGCTCACATCAGTTTGTTAAAAGATATGTTGCCCACACCAAAATATAGCTGGTATGGACAGTTGGACAGTTATGAGCAGCTCGTGCAGTGTGTGCTCTGCATACACCGGACAGCAGACACTATTCCAAGATGCTATCCCAAACTTCCACTACCTACCAACAGAACCACTTCTTTGAGTCCACAATAACTCCTCACCTTAAACTAAGACCATAAGAAACAGGAAGAGGAGTAGTCCATTCAGCTGCTTAAGCCTGTTCTGCCATTCTGTAGATTCATGGCTGATTTGATATGACTCACGACCACCTTTCCCCAGAACCCTTGATTCCCGTACTGATCGATAATCTATCTCAGCCTTAAATATACACAAAGACTCTGGCCCATCGTTCTCTGTGTCCAAGGAGTTCCAAACACTTAACCCTCAGAGAAGATATTCCTTCTCACTTCACCCTAAAATTGGTGCCTTTTTATTCTATGTCTTCTGGTTCTAGCCTCTCCGAAGAGGGAAACCTTCTCTCAGCATTCACCCTGTCAAGCCCCTTAAGAATCCTATATGTCTCACTGAAATCACATCCAATTCTTCTATACTCCAGTGAGTAGAGTCCGAAGCCATTTAGCCTTTGCCATAAGACAATCCTTCCATCGTGGGGATGATCCCAGCAAACATTCTTGGAACCACCTCCAATAAAATAATATCTTTCTTTAAATAAGGGGACCAAAACTGCTCACGCTACTCCAGGTGTGGTCAAACCAGCACCTTACACAATTGCAGTAAAACGTCCCTACTCTCATACTCCATACCCTTTGAAATAAGGGGTAACAATCCATTACCTTCCTGATTACTGATGCACATGTGTGCAAGCTTTGAGCTTCGCACACAAGTATCCCTAATTCCCTCTGTTGCAGTTTTCCGTAGTTTTTCTCCATTTAACGCAATTCTTTTATTCTCCCTTCTAAAATGAACTTCACATTTTCCCACATTATACTCTGCCAACTTTTTGCCTACTTACGTAACCCATCAATATCTTTCTGTAAACTATTGTATCTATCACAACTTGCTCTTCCATCTGTAAAACTGAGTCTTACCTTTCTGCAGCAACCATGATCCTCTTCAGGCCTTTTCCTGCATTACCAGCAGCTCCCAAGGGCTTGACAGCTTCTCGAGTAAAGGACTCAATTAGCCAACTTCGCCTACCTGCGGTGCTTTCTAGCTGCCATGTCAGCATTCATTGCAAAGCTGAATTTTGTACCTGTTGGTGGAGAGATGAGCTTTCTGCACCCCTGTAAATTCTGTCCATTGCGTCTATAATGTCACTAACTTGCAGTATTATAAGATATGAAACACTAAGACGAGAAAATGTATTGCGTTTCAAGTAGCACCCAAACCATACCTTATGTAGCTAATATATGGTTGCTAATATTCTTAGATATGAGGTTGGCTTTAGTTTTTTGATGCATTCTAAAAAGGAGGATGGCCCCTTTAACTAGTGACTACTTTTATATCGATTAAATAAAATAAATTATTATTTATAAATTCCAGTTCAGTTCTGTAAAGAAAGTTGACAACTTAATTCAAAGATTGAAACTACAAATACTTCAGGCATGTAGTCACTGGTCAGCACCCAAACAATAAAAAAAACATTGTCCAAATAAGTTACAAAGAGTATTTTCATATACTTGTAAACATTTATTTTTTTCGAACTGAAAAATGGGAAGGGGGCAGAGAACTTGCATCAGCACACATTGTACAGCCTGGCAGGTTTACACACAACCGAAAAGAAATTATAGGTTTGTATGACAATAATCCAACAATTATGTTCATGTCCATTGATCCTCAATATTGGGTGAACTTAAAACACTTAAACTTTCTAACAAATGTCCAGCATTTAAGAAATAACACAAAAACATTGCAATCTGGGGCTTCAAAACAACAAATAAAGAATGTCCACACAAATAATTTTATGAGCCCAATTGAGTCTGAAGTTGACCAAAAATAGGATATTAGGGGCTAAGTGGAAAACTGCAAAATCTTCAGGCTGCATCTAAAGGCATTATTTTCACTCATTCTTCTTTGTAGATCACTAGTGACCAGCCAAGATAGATAATGGAACACTTTGTTCCCACTACTTTGGGCTTCTCCAAATTATTTTTTGATTTTTTTTTTGATAGCGTGAACTCACATTTTGCTGGTCCTGCTGGGTAAAAAACTGTTAAGGCGAGTAATTATTGGCTGATGGTATTGACAGAAGAGGAGTTGCTGTACAATGGAGCTCTGGATTGGATACAAGATTCACAGATATAAAACAAAAAGGCTATAAAATTTGTACTGTGGTTCTACAGCATTCTCCATATAAAGACGCTGTTTTGTGATATGCTCAGATACTTTGTTGTGACAACGGTGAACATAAATTAGGAAACTCATCGCCTTTTTTTTTGCTGGATCACTGGTTTTCTTCAATTGTTAGATCATAAAACACCAACGCTCCAGGAGTCTATACGTCAACAGAAACCATTATATAGGCCCAATCGAGGAGGGAAAAACAGTGGAGGAGACTGCAGGTCCAGTGCAGCACTTACTACTGAGAACTAGCCCTTTCCATAATGTGAAAATCGTAGTGCTTCTTGCTTGTTCTCAGTTTGAATTTGCTGGAGTTATTTTGTTTCAACAATGCATTCTGAGCAGCTAGTTTTGAAGGAAACATCGCTATGATTGTGTACATGGATGCCAAGTCACTGGAAGGTTTTGAGTGTTCTGTGTTTGCATTACTATCACCACTACCACCACCACTACAATGTGGCTGAGTGTCTTGCAGCCATCGAATCTTGGCACCAGCTTTAAAGAGTTCATTTAAGAGTTTATCAGCATCTGTACGACTAATTCCCTCTGGTAGGTCAGTTACCTCCAGGACTCTGCTGACAACTGGAAAACAGAGAAAGCAAGCAATTTACACAAATAGAAAACTAGCAACAAAATTAGCAGTTTTAAATTTTTCGTACAATATTATAAAATTTCATTTTGAGGTTACTGCAACAAGGTCAGATACCAACAACTTCAATCTCACTGACTGCTTAGAGCACAGAAAGATTTCCAGCAATTGTATTGGAGTTAAGTCCCATCCTAGCACATGATTATCAACTTACGTTATAGTTTTAATAGGCAGAAGCTTAGAACGGCAAATATCGATGAAACATTTTTTTGTCTACAGCAGACTTTCCTTTGAAGAAATAGCACATGCAATTTTAGTTTTCCAGCTCCTTGACATGAAAAAAAGCATGAAGTTTAGTTTAGCATGCATTTGGGTGATCTTGAGTGAAAAGATACAGTATGTTTGCTGCAGGATTAGGAAGTAGCCCAGTTGCAAAGAAAATATAGAAACATGTATTCCATCTCTCAGAACAAATTATTTTGTTGCATGTAGGAAATTAATTCTACAGGGACGGTCAGTATTTAGGCAAAAGAAGTAATGAACTTGTCTGCAGCAAGATGACTTGAAAACAATTCTTTGCTCTTCATACAGTGGTGGAGTCCAAGTATTTATCTTAATTACTCAAACAGACAGACAAAGTTTAAAGTGCAATTATTTGCAACCCAGATGGATTGGACCAGATTGCTGAGGTTTTCCTTTGGTGGGCAAAACACACTCACCAGTTTGAAATTTATAATTTGATTCAGTTTGCTGTGGAGTAATCCAATGTATCCACAACGCATAATTTGATTCAGTGTGAAGCTTTGTGAATGTCATTTTGTCTAATGTTTTGCTAGCCAAACTTGTAGAACACAAGACTTAATACTCTAATGAATGGAAACTGAAAGAACTGCAGATGCTGTAAATCAGGAACTAAAACAAAGTTGCTGGAAAAGCTGAGCAGGTTTGGCAGCATCGGAAGAAAAAAATCAGAGTTAACATTTAGGATCCAGTGACCCTTCCTCAGAACTTCTAATGAATGGGTTAGTTACTTGTTCAGAGTTTTATATTTTGTTTTCTTCTGAAAGTGATAAAACTTAATTAATTCAGAATAAAAGGTCTGACAGGCAAGTTAGGCTACAACGAGTTAGGAGTGCTGCATGAGCCCTGGGGAGTCCACAAAGTACAGAACCATTTTTATGTGGAGCAAACTCAAGCCTGCAGGGTTAGGAGGTGGAAAGTGGATTCTTTGACAACCAGTAACAACTGTCTGATGTTGCCTCTCCTAGTTCTTTTTACTTCTTACCACACACCTAGGTTTCTGAACTGCTCCCCCAATTGGCTCCCAAGTGTTCTCCTACCATGTTCCCAAGCTTCTACCGAACTACTACATCCAGCATTGCTCCAAATATAATAGGACAAACACAAAATAATATGGAATTTTTTTGCCCTTCCCTAATTGGCCAGAGGGCAATTAAGAGTTAACCAAACTGCTGTGGGTTTGGAGCCACATGTAGGCCAGGTCAGACCAGGTAAGGATGGCACATTTCCTTCCCTGAAGGACATTCATTAGTAAACCAGATGGAATTTTACAACAATCAACAGTATTACATGGACACCATTTGGCTAACTTATTTTTGAAAAGCCAGATTTGGACTGAATTCAAATTTTACTACCTGCCATGGAGAGATTCAACCCTATATCTCTAGAATGTTAGTTGACGGTTTGAGATCTCAAGTCAGTGATATTAACACTACACCACTGCCTTCCCAGATTATTACTCTTATTTAAGTCACATATACTTTATCATATAAACCAGCTTATTTGTCACTGAGCATGTTAGCAAAATACTCAGCTGTTCTGCCAGTTGAAAAAATTTTAAAATTTCCTTGGCTCAAGGAATGTGGGTATCACTGGCTAAGTTAGTATTTATTACTCATCACTAATAAGCTGGAAAAGATGGTGATGAGTTGTCTTCTTGAACCTCTGCAGTCTTTTGAGTGTAGGGACACCCAGAGTGCTATTAAGAAAGGGAGATTCAGGATTTTGACCAATGATAGGGAAAGCACGGTGATATAATTCAAGTCAGAATAATGGTGGCTTGGATGGTAACTTGCTGGTGGTGGTTCTTGCGTACTTGTGTCTAGACGGTAGAGGTTGTGGACTTGGAGGAGGTTGCTGGAGGAGCCTTGGTGAGTTATTGCAGTGCATCTTACAGATTGTCCGCACTGACGCCACTGTGTGTCAGAGAAGGGAACGAACACTGAAGGTGACAGATGGAGTGCCAATCAAAGAGCCTGCTTTGTCCTGGATGGTGTCAAGATTAAGTGTTGTTGAAATTGCGTTCATCCAGGCAAGTGGAAAATATTCCATCACACTCCTGGCTTCTCTCTTACAGACAATAGGCAGACACTAGGGTGACAGGGGGTGAACTAATTGCAACTGAATTCCTAGCCACTGGTCCAGTTCGTTTCTAGTTGACACACCAACCTCTGTACATGATATTCCTCGATCCCACAAAAGCCTTCGACTTGATCAATTGCCAGGCATTATGAAATACCCTCCTCAAATTTGGCTGCCCACAGAAATTCGTCACTGTTCTCACCCTGCTTCACGATGACATGCAAGCCATGAACCTCACCAACGTATCTACCACAAACCCAATGCAACTGCAAATTGGGGTAAAGCAAGACTGCATATCTACAGCAACACTCTTCCGCTCTTCCTCACGTAACACTCCAACCCATCTTCACAAAGCTCCTGCCTAAGTGGAGTGAATCTATAGCACAAGGAGGCAACTGTTCAATTTTTGATACTTCCAGGCCAGAACAAAGACTCAAGATCTGTCATCAAGCTGCAGCATGCAGACAATTCCTGCGTTGCACACACTTAAGAAACCAACCTACAAACCACAATCAATGCAGTCACTGAATGTGTATGAGAATGAACCTCAGACTTAACATGTGGTAAATACAGATTGTCTGCCAGCCTGCTGCTGCCACACAACACTGCCCTGCAACTACCAAAATCCACAACGAGCAGCTGGATGTGGATCATTTCCCACTCCTCAAGCAGATGTTACAATAAAATCCAATATCGACTTCAATGTGTCAGCACATCCTTAAGATATCCGAGGAACACAAAGTTCCGAATCTGAGATATTATTCCCAGCACCAAGATTATGGTCTGCAGAGCAGCCATGGACCCATCATTCTTCATGTATCAGAAATGGACCATGTACAGCAGACACCTCAAATTCCTGAAGAGTTAATACCAGTGGTACCTTCACAAAAGCCTTCGCAAACCACTGGCAGAATAGGAATAACAATGCGAGTGTCCTCTTCCTAGCCAATATGTCCTGTTTTGAGGCACTGGTCAAGCACGATCAGATGCAATGAGCGGGCAACACTGTCCACATGCCTAACACAAGACTCCCTAAATAAGTGCTGCACTCTGAGCTCCACAATGGTAAGTGATCATGAGGGCAGAAGCAACACTACAAGAACACCCTGTATGCCTCTGTAACATGCATCATTCCCACCACCATGTGGGAATTGCTTGCCCTAGAATGCGCAAGCTAGAGAAGAAGCATCTGTGAAAGCACCAACCACTTTGAGTGTCACCTAGTGGACCACGTGAAAGCAGGAGAAACAGTGTGCAGTATCATGAGTGACCCACCTAACTGCCTCATCAAACACTACCTACCCCACTTGTGGATCCAGGCTTGGGCTGTTCGACCACTGCCAGCCAATTCCACTAGTCTGAGCAAAAGTAAGCCATCTTAAACTCTGAACGACTGCTAAAGAAGAAAAGTGTCACCATCTGCCCGTTTATTTAACTAGCTCCCATGACAAAAGCAAAACATGGTTACTTTTCCCAGATTATGGTACCTTATGAGTTACTAATGGACAGTGAGACTTAATTTAAAGGAATAAACTGTGTCAGTGAATCCATAAGGTTAACTAGGTCAAGATTCAATTTTGGGAAGGGTCTACTTATGGTGAGTGGAATGTCATGATCTCCCAAAAGGGAGAAATTAAATGGAAGTAGTACCAATGATTAGGATGATGATCTGTAATTTGGGACCTGAGCAACTGCTCTTATTCTACCTTAAGAAAGGGAAAAAAGGTCCAAAATCTGTGGTCTCCCTTTTTAACAGTAACCATGTTAGTTACTTGTGACGTCTTACAAATGTGAACCAGACACACGTACCCCTGATGCAGATACTTAAATACTTCAAAAACAGAAGAAGTATGCCATTCAGTCCTTCACCTGCTCTGCCATTCAGTATTTTCTTGGCTGACCATCCAGCTCAGTACCCTCTTCCCAATTACACCCCATGTCCTCCAAACTCTTCAATTCTAAGAACTATATCTCCTTTTTGAAAGCATTGAATGTTTTGGCCTCAACTGCTCTCTGTGGTAGAGAATTCCACAGGCTAACCACTCTCTGGGTGAAGAAATTTCTCATCTCTGTCCCAAACAGGCTGTATCCTCTCCATCCTCATGTCTCTAGAATGTGACCGATGGGTCTGACTCCCCAGTCATTGTGAACATCTTTCCTGCATTTACTGTACCTAGTCCTGTTAGAACTTTACAAGTTTCTATGAGATCTCCTATCATTCTTCTAAATGTCAGTGGATATAGCTTTAACCGATCCAATCACCCTTCATACGTCAGGCCTGCCATATCAGGCATCAGTCTGGTAAATCTTCATTGAACTCCCTCCATAGCAGAACATGGTTCCAAAAGGAGACAAAAACTGCACTCAATATTCCAGGTGTGATCTCACCAAAACTGTGAACAATTGCAGCAAGACATCCCTGCAACTGCATTCAAATCCTTTAGTTATGAAGCCCAACGTACCATTTGCCTTTCTCACCACCTGCTGAACCTGCCTGTTTACTTTCAGCTACTGGTGTACAAGGAAACGCAGGTCTTGTTGCACTTTCCCATTCTCAATGATTTTTCTATCCATATTACACTTCATCCACGATACATTTGCCCACTCAACTGAGTTTTCCCAAATCACTCCGAAGCATCTCTGCAACCTCCTCACAGTTCACCCACCTTATTGCCATTTTCTAATCTCCATTTGCTTTGATGTTTGTTTGAACAAAAAAAGCAGTCAGGTCGGAAAGTCATAATCCAGTTTTTGAAATATTGCTGTGCTTGCTTTTAAAAAAGCAGCATTGGCAGTTTTGGGGATAAATGGATTGTGTGCTGATATAAAGACATTGCATGTTGATATAAAGCCCCAGTTAAAATATTCCCAGTCTTGTTTCTTGACTTATGCTCAGTTAGCTGATTTGTGACTTCTGTGCCTTTGTGATACTTGTACATACTGTTAGGGGGAAAGGGAGAGAAAAGTGAACCAGGATGAGCTAGTTAAATTGAAGCAAATAGCATTCCTCCCCTGCAGTAATTTTATTTGAAATCAGGATAGCAATTATGGCAATTGCCTTTAGTATTCTTGGATGGCTATGATACTCTCTTGATCTGAATAATCTACTGACACACACAACTGATGCTGCACATAAAGAATGATCAGTTGTCTAAGATACTAAAAAACTGCCAGATCCTAAGAATTGAGATCAAGATATTTTAATGTTCACATAGGATGTTAATTAATTTTAGCTTTGAGACTGGCTTGATTTCAGAGTTAGGGATTCCACCAGTGAACCAGTGGATTTTGGGAAACACAACTTTATTTATGTTACCATTACAGCAAATCCTTGTAAAATTTAGGTAACTTAGCTTGATCTTGGTGTTTGGACACACAATAGAATCTTTACTCGAACGTGCGATAGAAAAATGCCTCAAAACTGAAAATATAATAAAGAGCACTCAGCACAGACTCTAAAAGGGAAGGTCATGCTTAACCAATCTTATTGAATCCATCAAAGAACAGAAAGGGTAAATAAAATTATTACAGGAGATCCAAGATACTTGGATTTCCAAAAGGCCTGCAAATAAGGTACCGCATAACAGACTCATGACTAAGGTGTAGAATGTAGAATCAGTACAAAGGTGAGAATAAATCTTGAACTGACTACAAAAAGAACTGTAAGAGGAGATGTTCCACAGGACTGTTGCTGGGGCCATTGTAATTTACTACTGATATAAACAATTTGGACTTGGGAATTGGAAGTGCAATTCCAAAATTTATGGATAAGATCACATTCCAGAAGACAGTTAACACAGGATTGTGATGAAATAGGGGAAGATATTGCTAAACTTGTAGAATTGGTATTTAACTGGCAAATAAATTTCAATATGGATAAATTTGAGATGTTACATTTTGGAAGGGCAAATAAGGAAAATTCAAACATCTTGGAAAATAGGTATTTTACTTAAGAAGAAAGCTGCATTGGAATTGGTTCAGATTAGTTTCCCAAAGTCAATTCCTGGGATGAAGGGGTTGTCTTATGAAAAAAGATCAACTATATTTGACCTGTACCCATTGGAGTTTAGAAGAATTAAGGGTGATACTACTGAAATATACAAGATTCTGAGAGGGCTTAGCAGACTAGATGCTAAGTCCTTCCTATCAGGGGATCTAGAACCAGGATGGACAGCTTAAAGATAACAGATCTCTCACTGAAGACAAGGATGAGAAAAATTCCTTCCCCCAAGGAGTCATGTGTCTTCGGAATTCTCTTCCGCTGCAAGCACTGGGAGGACGGTCACTGAACATTTTCAAGGCTAAATTAGACAGATTTGTGATCAACAAGGGCTTTTGGGGAAAGCAAGATAATATAGTGACAGCCCCAATCAGATCAGCTATAATCTTACTCAACTGTGGATCAACCTCAATGGGTCAAATGACGTACTCTAGCTCTTATTTTTTATGATCTTATGATCTAAACAAAGTAGAATAACAAAAGGGACCTGGGAATCAGATAGGTAAATGACTAAAGGAATAACACAGGTCAACAAGCCCAAAAGTAAGGCAAAAGCAAAAGCCTTCATTTCTAAATACATTGAATTGGATAGCAGAGAATTCATGTTAAGTACTGGTACAGGTGTTGCCATAAAAAAATGCACCAGTTAGGTAATGAAACAACAGTTATCTGCTAATGTTTGTTTTAATTTAAACCAGGCAGGTTGACTGTGATCGGTCAAGACATGGCCACTGCCTATTTGTTAAGTTGACATAGTAACAATGTGTGTACATTCCTCTTGGCAAGGCTTTTTCCATTCTCAGTCCACCTGCCAGCCAATCTAAAAACTTTTTTCTCAAACAGTATAACATGTTGTTTCCCTTTACACTGGTATTCTTGCAAATGTCCTGATGAATGCAAGACAAAAATCTTTGGGAAGATGTGTCTTTTTCAGGGGAATAGTCAACCTCCATATAGAGGTTTTGCATTTATTTACGCACCAGGTTCTCCTGCACCAAGGTCTGTTGATGCTGCTTTCCTCGTTTGTTTCTTTCCTCTTCCTCCATGCCTATTCAAATTCTGACTCTAAAATTTCAATAAAAACATCAAACCAACATTATCTAAATTATTCTTTCAGGATTAAAAAGAAAAAAAAAATATTAAGAATAAGCCCTTAGCAAAGCAAATACCAAATGTAACAGAAACTAACTGGCTAACAAAACATCATGGACAATTATTCACAGGAAAAAACCTGGCCGAAACCTACCAAAAACCAGCACAAAAGATCAGAAAAGATCTTTAAAAGACTGAAGGATTTCAAGCACACCCAGTTCTGCAGAAGCTGAATTTCTGGAATCTTCTGTACTGATTTAAAAATAAGAAAAAAATCTATAGGAAACTGGCTGTACCACAAAACCAGTCTCATTCCCAAACCAAATTAATCACTGGGCGAGCTTCCATCACTTATGCCTGTTTGTGGGTTATCAATAAGATTCTCTAAACTGAGTATTTTTTTCCAAAGGCCACTAATAGAATCAAAAAGATGAATGTAAAAAACTGAAAAAAATGAGGCTACTTTACTGCAAAGAAACTAGTATAAGGTTTGTATCCTTTTAAAAATTCATTTTTAGCATTTGCGTAGCCATTGATAGTTATAAAATTAGATTTTACTTGTACGTGGAATACTAAACACTGATGAAATGTGTAATTTTGTGATAAATCCATTTTAGCAGACAATAAAATTGTGCAAATCTATTTGTATGTTAATAAATATATTCATATTACGAAAAGTTTTAAAATGCTGTCCAATTGGATTGGTTAATAAGAACTTTCAAATGAAATACAAATGAATTTGAATGGAAAGTCGAGCAAAAAACCCAACTCAAATAGCAAAACTTTGAGTAGATACAATTCTTTGCAAAAATGTTGTCAGATTTCCCAATAATTTATTGTTCAAAAGCCATTGAGATCAGGATATTATGACTTCGGTAATTCTGAAAACCAACCTGTTGTGTTGAGACTATGTGAGGCCCATGTAGAAGAGGACGGATCGGAGCGTTGTACTGCAAAGGCTGGCCAAGCAAAGGGTAGCGCCCATCTCCTTTAACAGAAAGGGGTTTTTAAAAAATATATACTCCTGTGTAAAGCTTCAATTTACAACCTATGTATACAGGTTCAAGCACACTTAAAGAAAACTCAAAGGCATCTATGACAGGATACCAGGTAAAATTAATGAGACTGAAGTTCTAGTTAGTTATTAGGGGTCCTTCCAAATGTTAATAACATCTATTAAAGCAATTAAACTATCGAACACCAATAATTAGTAGACTGTTTTTAAGTACTGTGTAACAGAGAATAAATAACTGATGTCAACAAGAGGCAAGTTGGTTAAGACAAAGGTCAAGTGACATGTGATATTCTTCCAAATATTTTCCTTAATTTTATTGCATGACCAAACAGATAGCAAAACCCAAGGTACTTCTTCAAATGAAAACTTACAACAAGTTGTGCATAAATTAAACCTATGACAAATTTGGAGCTGTTTATATCATATTTCACTGAAATCCTGTAGTTCACGTCACACCGCCATGCCTGATATGTTTAAATGTAAAGGAGCAACACAGGTTTAGGAGACTAATATGAGCTGGTTCTGCAATGAACAAGAGTGCAAGATAAGCCCATTTCTCCACACAGCACACAAACAATGACTGTCATTTTGAAGGATGTGCTTCCAAATTTAATTTACATCACCCTTACATTTTACAATTAGCCTTTTCTTTCCTTGTTAACTATTTTATCAAGTTAGCAAATAAAAAGCAACTGGTATTGTAACTGATTTATTTATTTATTGTCATGTGTATTGAAGTACAGTGAAAAGCTTTGTTTACGAACAGTACAGGCAGATCATAGTAAGCAAGGTTGTACAGATCAAAAAGATTTAGACAGAGATACAGGTTACATTGCACAGAGCGTGCACTAGGCGACATCAACGTTAGCGAGATCAGCATTATTTGAGGCTAGACAGTCCATTCATCAGTCTAACAACAGCTGGAAGAAGCTGTTCCTGAACCTGCTCGTGCGTGTGTTCAGGCTTCTTCAACTTCTGCTTGAGGGAAGAGTTTGTAGGAGAGCATGACCGGAGTGTGATGGGTCTTTGATGATGATTTCAGTCTTTCCCAGCAGTAAGCTGTGTAAATGGAGTCCATGGACTGAAGTTTGGCTTCTGCGGTGGTTTGGGCTGTGCACACCACCTTCTGTAGTTTCTGACAGTCCTAGCCAGAGCAGTTGCCATATCAGTCCGTTATGCACACAGACAGTATGCTTTCAATTGTGCATCCTGGGGGTGTTTATGGACATGCCAGATTTCCTGAGCCACCTGAGGAAGAAGAGGCATCATTATGCCTTCTTGACCATCGCATCTATGTGGGAAGTCCAGAACACGTCGTTGGTTATCGTCCCTCTAGACAGATACATGAATGGGCAGGGAGCAGAGGGATACAGATAGGCGACAGGTTTAGATAGAGGATCTGGATCGGCGCAGACTTGGAGGGCCGACGGGCCTGTTCCTGTGCTGTAATTTTCTTTGTTCTGAGGAATTTGATGCTCTCCACCCTTTCAACCTCAGTTCTGTTGATGGAGATGGTGGCGTGGTCTCATTCTTTCTTTCTGAAGTCAACGATCAGTTATCTAGTTCTGCTGACGTGGAGAGAGAGGTTGTTCTCATTGCACCACGTCACCAAACCTTCTATCTCCCTTCTGTATTTTGACTCATGAGCTAGTACCAGAGGAGGTGCAGAAAAACATTTTCAAAAAAGGTACAAATCACCAGAAATGTTGCAATCTCTTCTGAGCTCCATATATAAATAGTGCATGAACTTTGATGGCTTGTGTGACCCTAACATTTTCAGAACAACTTGAAGTACTATAGTGGTGTAGTGCTTTTGACTGGATACAAACAAAAGGATATGATGAAAAACTAGGATGATGTAGGTCTGTGAGAAGGCTGTGGCCCAGGACGGAAAGATAGGAGAAAGCAAAAATGGAAGGAAAGAGAGAAAGTTTAAAAAAAAAACCCACTGTCAAGGATGGAGATAGATTTTTTACACTATATAAATATATATATTATAAACATAGACAATCAAAAAAGACCTCTCACGGTAATTTACAGCCACTGAACATGTTTGAAATGTAAGACAGAGAAAAGAAGAAAAACTGCAAAGGAAGTTGGGAGGTGTAGGAGATTGGGGGATGGCGAGGTGAAGAAACAGCATGTGTGAGGTGGACGTGAATCAACTTTTTTCCAGCGATTCAGTTGATCATATCTTTTCGTGCAAGGATCAGCCCTACATTTTTCTTTGCATCACCTGGAAGATTGGGATACATCTGCGTCTTGATCAGTGGTAAATACAGTACTTAAGATATGATCTAACCAGATGGACAAAACATCTCAGAAATTGCTGCTTGAAACAGATGGGTAAGAAGCAAAATAATCAAAGTCTTTCTGTAGACAAATAGCATTTGTAACTTAAGGATGTTCTCAGATTCTCAAAAACTTAATAAGGGAGTGGCGAAGGGAACACTATAAAAAGCTCATCTAGGTGAATGTGCATCACAAGTCGAGATTTTTGTGTAACAGCTGCTCAAAGCAGTGACACCATGTAATTATGATGTTTCTAAAAAATGTGTGAAAGGAAAAAAAGCCTGCCTCTTGATGGTGAGGTGAGGCCACTCCAGTCATATCCATGGCCAAGCCCCTGCTCAAAAGGAATCTAGGATGATGCTTGTTGAGGTCCTTGAACTAGAATGGTGATGGGCTGCATCTGGAAAAGGTACAGAAGATGGAACACTGCTCAATTTTACAGGGATTTTTCTTCTTGGTCATGAAATGGGCAATAAACAGGGAAGTTTATGAAAATACTCAAAAGAACTCATGGAGAAATTTGAGTGATGTTTCCTCAGCTTATACTTTGTTGTTCAATTGCAAGAGTGTTTGTACCAGTGATTTAACAATTTACCAGATTATTGCTGAAATCAGGTTACATTATCTGCAGTCACAGTAAATTTCAGTCTTATATTTAATAACCAGTAAAATTTGTGCCAATTTGAAGTATGACTGGGCTAGTGAACTACTGCTGCTCTTAAAAACTGTTCAGTTCAGAAATCTCAGTAAGCCTTATTAAAAACAGTGCAAACAAGTTGATAATAAAAACATTTCTGCAATCTATTGCAAATATTTGGTGTGTCCTCTTTTTTAATTGTAATAAATGTGGAAGAAGGAAATTGAATGGTATTATATCAAATCACTTTGGATTAAAATTTCCACTTGGTGGAACCACAACCCCACTACAGCAAGTTCCAAATCTGTGTCCCTTATAACGAGAATGGCAAGGGTTGCAGTCGATGGAATGTCACATCACCATCAATTAACTCGCCTCGCAGCCACACAGTTATCTGACTTGCAACTATACTGTAGTTCATTCACTATCGTTGGGTCAGAAAATCTGGAACTTCTTTCCTAACAGCACTGTGGGTAGATCCATACCATATAGACTGCAGATGTTCAAGTAGGCAGCACCTCACCATCCTTAAAGGCAACAAAGGATAGGCAACAGATGTGAGTCTTGCAGCATCAAGTGAATGAATAAAAAAGTAATAAGAATGAAACAATGCCCAAGATAAATTATCGAAGTGGTACTGAATCCACAAAACCAAAGCTCACTGAGGAAAAATAAAGTTACACATATAAGGTCATGTCCATTAGTTTTATTTTATATGGAGCTCTATTTTAACTTCTGTAAATGGATTGTCCAGGGGTGTGATTCTTGCTTTGGTGTGAGGGGTCCTGGGTTCAAATGCTGGACAAGCCCTCAATCTGTTATGGACCAGGCCAGACCCCCTCAAAATATTTTAAGAAGGTAGCCGACACCCTAACGTTCTCTTATTTTAAGAGGCAGATGTGAAGTGGGTGTTCCAGGTGTGATGCAACTGGTCAAACCACTCGGCTTTAAGCAAAACAAACTTTATTTAAATACTACAGTTGAAATACGAACAAAAGAAAGCAGAATTTAGAGTAACTTCACTGTTGGAAAACCTAACCGACCCAATACAGCAACTTAACTAATTAACTATTCCAATATGGTAACAGCCCATAAACACACCTCTTGCCAAAAAGGTAAATTCAAACACAGATTCTTATAGACAGGAGGGCACAACATCCAGAGAGAGATTTCAGACAAATTCAGAGGAATCCTTTACTGAAGCTTGCAACGCTTTTGGTACCCAGAACATCTTGTAACTGCTGTAGCTTTAAAAAAAAACCTAGAAAAAACTTGAACCGGAAAACTGGCCACTCCCCTTCCATTGTTAAACTGTAATTCCCTGACTTGTCGGGACCTCTGCCTTTACAATCTCTCTTCAAAAAGACCATGGACAAAATAACCTTTTTAAAGTGACAGCATCGTCACACGTGAGAGGTGGAAGAACAATGTATAAAACTGTGGGTGTTAATCATTACCATTTTGATTTGTAAAGGTGAGAGTGACCTCAGAATTGTAACATCTGCTTCTGCTACTCACCACCTCCACAGATTCAGATCTTAAACATGAGTACACAAACTCATTAGAAAATCCAATTACGTTATATCGATTGCATTACCCTTGTCTATTCTTTGTTTGTTCTTTAGAGAATTCAATAAAATTAGGCAAGCAAGATCATCCATTTTGAAATTGGTACCGATTGCCATTTATTAAATTTTCAGCTTCTAGATGTTTTATCAGATCTAATTAAAGATTTCATTAACTTTTCTATCATCGATATTAAGGTAACTAGTCTATAGCTCTATGAATCTTACTACCTCCCTTTTTAAATGTAGATACAACCATTTGGTGTGCGCCAATCTTCTGGCACTGTTCGATTTTCTAATAAATTGGTCAAGTAAGTAGTAGTGCTTTTGCTATCTCATTCAGACCAACAGTTTTATCCTGTCTGTTTGATCAGTTAAAGAATACTGTATCGTTTTGCTATTTGCCTTGGGATTACGGGCACTCTTTTGTGCAGCAATTTCCTAATGCTAAATTGGGGGAAGTGCCTACAATAATCTCCTTACATGAAATGCCTCTGGCTCAGGAATAGTAACCTTCCATTCCAAATGTCTCCAATGGGCACAACTTTAAAGATAATGAAATTGTTTATTTCCATCTGCAACAATGTGTGTATTAACATTTCAAATGGAAAAATGTCAGCCATGACCCAAGTAGTTTCTGAATTGACTGCGCTATTGATAAGGAACATTGTTAACTCCTTTGGGAACAATGATTGAAGACGTTAGTATTTTTGCAGTTGAGTTGAAAATTGGTTTCAGTTACATGTACTGTAATTGAAGTCATAAGAAACGGGGACACAATGCAGAAGTTGTCACAGGAAGAGTCCATTCAGACCCTTTAGCTTCTTTGGTCATTCTGTTAGATCATGAATGAGCTCTACCTCAGTTCTATTTATCCATGTTTGATCCTTACCTAATGAAAATCTTTCAATCTTCAAAAAAAGTATTTCATGTTTCAACACTTGAAAATCAAGCAAATACAACAATTTTTTTTACACAACCTGCCATTATAATTTAAACCTTTAAGCCTATCCATTGTTGATTTATCCTTCCTAAGGTTGTATAGAAAAGGTGAAAGCAGTGTTCAATCCAAGGTTTTGTACCACTAAAGAATCATTTTCTCTTCTTTGTATTCCAGCCCTTTGTAAACAGGGCCTGTGTGCTGCCCTCTACCTGAATTTGTATACCTGGATACCAAAATCACTGAGTCTTAGAACCCTAGTTTCTTGCCATTAAGGAAGTATTTTTACTTCGTTTTTATTGGATCCAAAATGGATGACCTTACATGAATACACTTAAGCCTGTCTGCAATACTCAGTCTGCCTATGCCCCTTTGTAACTCCATGCACAGCTTTAAATACCACCTTATTTAGTTGTATGTAAACTTTGAAATTTTCTGCAGTTGGCACAGGATTTGTTTTTATCACGACAATTTAGGAACATTATGCATCTTTCTTAAAACCAAAAACGGTCAAAATAGTGATCTGTATCTGAAGCAAATACCTTGTCCAGGGACCACAGGTTGAGGAAACTGCGCCATTAATGGAAGTGGTCCTAGTCCAGCGCGGACATTTTTAATAGTTGTCATTGGTTGTGGTGCCGGTGATTGAGCTGGAGATACAGCAGGACTACCTATCTGTGGACTGCTCTGTTTAAAACAAAAGTCAATATCAAATTCAAAGAAACTCCATGTAATTTTAGCTTTCTTATTTCATGAACTCAGAATCTTAATTAAAAACAAGTGACTTAAAGTCCCATGGGCTGACAAAACACAATCTTGGCTAAATTCATGGACATTAATTAAAAGTCAAAATGCTTCATTACTAGGTCAAGCAATCACCCTCTAACAACAATATAAAATTAATGACTAATATTAAAGGACAGGGTCATATTCTAAACATTTTGTCAGGAGGATGACCTTATTAAAGTTCCCTTTCTTTGAAGTTTCTGTGGCCATCATGTTTCCAGAGATTCAAATCCTTCCTGATCCTGGTGTTACAAGTTTCACTTGCTGGGACATGAAACAGGAATTACTCAAGGTCACCTATTGCCTCATGTGCAGAAGCATACACGTTGATGACAGTGATTATACCAATTCCTCAGAGTATGCTGGAGAGTGATGAAGCACTTTCATGTCACACAGGGTTAGGTCCCAAGGCATCAGATAGCAAAATTTTTCATCAAAAATGAGCCTATGTAAGTGTCGTTGATCTTCTCGAGAACGCTACCAGGAAAAGCTGTATCATCGCCTTATTTTGTAAGTTGGCTTCTCCTGCATATGGTGTTCACTAAGGGTGGCAAATGTTAATGTTGAGGCACCTAGGTTCCCAAGCTATGATGGTTGTGTGGTGTGCAGCTCTGTCAGGACTGTCCATGAGTATGCCTTGCAGATGCTTCACGGCAACTCCAGTTACAGGTCCGAATACGGATTCTGACACTAGTTTTGAGAGGAGGGAATGTAGGTTGGAAACAACTGTGCTAAGTTTATATAAGGGTAATTACAAAGGGATAAGGGCAGAGCTGGCTGAAGTGAACTGGGAAAGTAGTTTTGCAACAAAGATGATTGAGGAACGATGGCAGGTGTTTAAGGACTCAGAAAATGACATATAAAGGAGGAAGATTCTAGGAACGGGATAAGCCTACTATGGTTAACCAGGGAAATTAAACATAGATAACAAGGTGTAGAGCTGGATGAACACAGCAGGCCATCATAGGAGCAGAAATTTTCTGATGAAGGGTCTAGGCCCGAAACGTCAGCCTTCCTGCTCGGCCTGCTGTGTTCATCCAGCTCCAAGTCTTGTTATCTCAGATTTTCCAGCATCTGCAGTTCCTAGTATCTCTGATACAAAATTAAACATAGCATGGGATTGAAAAAAAAAAAATCACATACAATATGGCAAAGATTAGTGCTAAGTCAGAAAATTGGGAAAGTTTTAAAAACCAAGAAAACATGACTAAACACGGAGAAAATGAACTCTGTAGGTAAACTTGCAAGCAATATCAAGACAGACAACAAGCATCTCTTTAAACTTAAAATGACGTAAGAGAGAAGCCAAAGTGACTTCAGAGAATGAGAATAGTAATTTTGCACCAGGAAATCGCAGAGGAGGAAAATAAATACTTTGCATCAGTCTTCAGAGTAGAAAACACTAATAGATTTCAAAAGTGCTAAGTAATCAAGGGGCAAAAAGAAAGAGAGGAAATAAATACAATACCTATCACTAGAGGAAAAAGTACTGGGAAAGGAGTGGGGTGAAAGTCTGATAAGTCCCCTCGATCTGATGGGATCCATCCTGGAATATGAAAGGAAGTAGCTAGAGAGACATTAGATGCTCTGATAGTAATCTTCCGGGAATTCTTACATTCTAGAAAAATCTCGAACAACTGGAAAACTACCAATGTTAACACCTTTACTTGTAAAGGGAAGAAGACAAAAAAAAACTAGAGGCCAGTTAGCAAGGCTGCTACAGCAGAGCATTTAGAAATAAATAATACAATCAACCAGAATCAGCATGGCTTCACAAAAGGGGAAATCATGCCTGACAAATATTCTCTTTTGCTCTCAATGTACTTGTAGGATCTCTTTGGATTATCTTTAGCCTTATTTTCAGAAGATTCATTTAATCCCAGTTGTCTATATCTAATATATGATTTTCTTTTCTTGTCTAGAACTTCAATATCTTTATTTATCCATTGTTCCCTAATCTTGCCAGCCTTGCTTTTCACTTTAACAGGAACATAATGCTTCTGAACTCTTATTATCACACTTTTGAAAGCCTCCCACTTGCCAGCCGTCCCTTTACCAGCGAACAATCAACTTTTGAAAGTTCTTGTTTCATACCCTTAAAATTTGCCTTACTCCAATTAAGAACGTGAATTTCTACAGAAAATTTATCCTTCTCCATAACTATTTTAAAACTAATAAAAATATGATCACTAATTCCAAAGTTCCCATAATAACACTTCAATCACTTGCCCTGTCTTACTTCCAAAAAGATGGTCATGTTTTGTTCCCTCTGTAGTAGGAATATTTACATATTGATAATGAAAATGTTCTTGAACACTTAAATTCTTCACCATCCAAACCTTTAACACTATGGCAGTCCCAGTCAATGTTTGCAAAATTAAAATTCCCTACTACTACAATCTTATTATTCTTGTACATATTTCAGATCTCTCCATATATTTGCTTCTTAACTTCCATGACTATTGGGGTGCATACAGTACAATCCCATCAAGACGATCATCCCCTTCTTATTTCTAATTTCACCCCATACATTTTCACTAAATGATCCCTTAGAAATATCTTCTCTAATTACAGCAATAATGCTTTTCTTAATCAAAATGCCACAGACGTTCCTCTTTTGCCTCTCTTTCTATCCTTCCTATAACTTCTAAAACCCAGAACATTGAGCTACCAGTTATGTCCATCCCTCAGCCAAGTTTCTGCAATCGCTACGACGTCAGAGTCCTATGGTTTCTCTACATACCCTGAGCTCATCAGCCTCACCTGTAAGACCTCATGCATTGATATAAATGCAATTTAATTGTTCAGACTTTCTCATGTCTGATTTTCTCTTGTCTGTCTTTTCTAATTGACTTTCTCTTTTCTGATTCAGAACCATCCTCATCTTCCTTTCTATTTTCACTTTTACTTGCAAGTCCACCCCCAAACCCCCAACGCTAAAAGTTTACAGGCTCCCGAAACAGAACTAGCTAATCTCCCTGCCAGGATATTGATCCCTTTCCAATTAAGGTGAAACCCATCCTTTTTGAACAGGTCTCCTCTGTCACAGAAGAGATCCCAATGATCCCAGAAAATGAATCCTTGCACGTCGCACCACCTCTTCAGCCATCAATTTATTTCCCTTTTTGTTTTATTCCTTCCCTCATAGAACTTGGCACTGCAAGTAAACTAGAGATTATTATTTTTGATGTTCTGTTTTTTAACCTTGCAGTTAACCTCTTACATTTACTCTGCAAAGCCAGAACCCTTTCCCTAACTATGTCATTCCTACTAGCGTACAACAACTTCTGGATTCTCTCTCTCCCCTTCGCCAATACGCTTCGAATTTCGAATGTTTTGAGACGTTTTTAGCCCTGGCAACAGGAAATCAACATACTATCCTAGATTCACGCTCAGTGCCACAGAATCTCCTGTCTGTGTTGGAAAAACGGTAGGAGTATGACAAAGGGAGTGATAACAGGGGACAAAAAAAAAAATCAACTAGATTAGACAAATGCAACATGGGTATATCGAAGGGAAATTTGTAGGTTTGACAAACCTAACGGAGCTTTTTGAGGATGTAACTAGTAGAATAGGTAAATTCACAGTAATCCCGGAAGACCACGGGGCTGCTCTAATGCAAGACACAACTGGTGGTGAATTTAACTGGAGATCATTGTGCCTCAGCCAAGGGCAAGGTTGAGAAGGCAGGACCCTCATGTTAACCTCAGCTGGTGTGGTAATTGAACATGTACTGTTGGCATCAGACTGCATCGCAAACCAGCTGTCCAGGCAACTGAGCTGGTAAATAGATTCGGGTTAAACCAGTTGCGTGTCTCCCTTGAGAAAGCATCCCCGTGGCACCCAAGAACTATGGCAACTACTTAACAGAATTTTCAGAAAGCTTTTAATAAAGTCTCATGTGAAAAGTTAGTATGGAAAATTAAAGCACATAAAACGAGAGACAATATATTAGTATAGATTGAGAATTGGTTAGGCAGGAAACAGAACATTTTTAATAGGTGATTTACTTGCATTCTGAACTTCAGATTACACCTGTTTATTCAGTACCATTTGTCAAGATATCCAAACTTTGTCGAAGGTGTTCCAATTGAGATTTAAAAGACCATGGCATTTATAATTTAAGTTAAAATATAGGGCTTTATTGTTACCTGTTCTGAAGTAAGCCTGGGTTATTTAACTGAAAGAGAGTGAAGGGAATTCACATTCTTTTACCAAGAAGGTGGTGCAATGTGTTTCACTTGGAGAAAACGGCAGCAGCCTATGTGCTCCGAAGTTCCAATAAAGTATTGGATATTAGATTGTAAATGTTGTGCTTCAAACTCGATTCAATCCCTTTTCTTCAAAGGAGAGAGAGTTGGAGTCTAAAAGATAGCCATTCATTACTTCTACCTGCGTACAAGACTCATGTGATTCACACTACCATGAAGATGGGCTTTGAGATGGGATTGATATAAAAGGAACCCGAGAAAGGAACCCACTGTGATATCAAGTTATAGGTTTTCCTAAAATATTATTGTAAACCACAGATCAGTTAGTCTGTTAGATTTGGGAGAGGGAGAGCAGCTACAGGCAGCAAGGTGCTGTGATTCACTTCAGAGGGATGTCGATGGCAGCTTGCACGACAAAGACTAAATTTGAGAGGACTTAAAATGAGGTTGGAGGATTTGCCTAGCTTTAGCAACAGGGAGAAGTCTCTGGGAAAACCTATGCCATGACAAACAGCTTGGGAATTAAAAATTTCTAGGCTGCGAAAAGAAAATGTCAGAATTTTGGCAAAGGGATTCTACAAATACATTAAGGACAAAAGCGTAATTAGGGAGAGAATAGGGCCCCTTAAAGATCAGGAAGACCATCTATGCCTGGAACCACAGAAGATGGGAAGATGCTAAATGAGTTAACTGTGGAGAAGGATATGGATGATAGAGAACATGGGGAAATAAAAGGCGACCTCTTGAAAAATGTCCATCTTACATAGGTCGTGGTGCTGGACATCTTAAAATGCATAATCGTGGATAAATCCCCAGGACCTTATCAGGTATACCCTAGCAATTGATGGGAAGCTAGGGAAGTGATTGCTGGGCCCCTTGCTGAGACATCTGTATCATCGATAGCAACAGGCAAGGTGCCAAAAGACTGGCTAACTTGGTGCTACTATTTAAGAAAGGTGGTGAGAAAAAACAAGGGGACTGTAGACCAGTGAGCCTGACATCGGTGGTGGACAAGTTGTTGGAGGGAATCCTGAGGGACAAGATTTACATGTATTTGGAAAGGCAAGAACTGATTAAGGATTGTCAACATGACTTTGTGCGTGGGAAGTAGTGTCTCACGAATTTGACTGAGTTTTTTGAAGAAGTAACAAAGAGGATTGATGACAGCAGAGTGGTGGACGTGATCTATATGGACTTCAGAAAGGCTGGTAGACTGGTTAGATCACATGGGATAGAGGGAAGCCTAGCTATTTGGATACAGAACTGGCTCGAAGGCAGAAGACAGAGAATGGTGGCGGAGGGTTGCTTTTCAGACTGGAGGCCTGTGACCAGCGGTGTGCCACACATATCGGTGCTGGGTCTGCTGCTTTTTGTCATTTACATAAATGATGTGTATGTGAACATAGGAGATATGTTTAGCAAGTGTGCAGATGACACTAAAATTGGAGGTGTACCGGACAGCAAAGGTTATACAGAGTACAACGGGATCTTGATCAGATGGGCCAATGGGCTGAGGAGTGGCAGATGGAGTTTAATTTAGATAAATGGGAGGTGCTGCATTTTGGAAAGGCATATCGGGGTAGGACTTATACACCTAATGGTAAGGTCCTGGGGAGTGTTGCTGAATAAAGAGGCCTTGGAGTGAAGGTTCATAGTTCCGTGAAAGTGGAGTTACAAGCAGATAGGATAGTGAAGGTGGCATTTGGTATGCTTGCCTTTATTGGTCAGTGCATTGAGTATAGGAGTATAGGAGTATAGGAGTCATGTCGCGGATGTACAGGGCATTGAGTAGGCCACTTTTGTAATACAATGTGCAATTCTCGTCTCCCTGCTATAGGAAAGATGTTGTGAGATTAAAAGGGTTTAGGAAAGATTTACAGGGAAGACTGGTTGCAGGATTTGAGCTATAGGGAGAAGCTGAATCGGCTGGGGCTATTTTTCCTGGACCGTCGGAAGCTGAGGGGTGACCTTACAGAGGATGGGCATGAATACAGTAAATAGCCAAGGTCTTTTCCCTGGGGTGGGGGTGTCCAAAACTAGAGGGCAAAGGTTTAAGGTGAGAGAGGAACGATTTAAAAAGGGACCTAAGGGGCAACATTTGCACACAGTTGGTGGTGCGTGTTTAGAATGAGCTGCCAGAGGAAGTGGTGGAGGCTTGTACCATTACAACATTTAAAAAGGCATCTGGATGTATATATGAATAGGAAGGGTTTAGAGGGATATGGGCCAAATGCTTGCAAATGAGACTAGATTTATTTAGGATATCTAGTCAGCATGGACGAGTTGGACCAAAGGGTGTGTTTCCAAGCTGTGCATCTCTACGACTCTAAATAAACCCTTGGGAGCCAAGAATCATCTTGGACTGCTACTGGAAGAATCAAATGTACCTTTATAGGATAGTGTAGTGTACCAATGATGGAATCAAAGTAGTGGTAGTTAAAAGTTCGGTTCTATAATTTAAATTATAAGCTTCTTACAAAAATAGTGTTTAGTCAACACATTTTTAAGTTATTAGTCTCTATGGGTTATTGGGAGCAGACAGGAAAGTAGAGTTGAGGCCGAGATGAGATCAGCCATGATTATTAAATGGGGGAAGCAGGTTAGAGGGGCTAAATTTCGTATTCCTGTTCCTAGTTCTTATGTCCTATGGGGATTATAACAAAGAAGATATCCACAACATTGCTCCATTCCGTTGTATACAACATGAATAAATGTACAAAAGTTACAGAATATCTGTAAACAGTGTATACCCTATAAACTGAAACAGAGTTGCATACCTGCGTGGTAATCTCTGGGTTGTTAAATTCTGCAGATTTATGTCCTCTCTGGTCCACGGTGAAATACTTATTTTGCTTCCACTGGGGTGGAGAATGAGCACGAGGATGGGGGTTGTTGGGTATGCTAAGCTGCATCATAAGCATTCCACTGCCATGTGGTGACACAACAGCTAAGAGGAAAGAAAAAGTTATGAATGCATATACGGTCAAAATAAAAATGAAAAATGTGTGATTAAATCTATTCCATGATGTCCTTCCTCCTATCATTACACACCAGAGATAATAACTACATCAGTCCAATAAAGCTTACAAATTTGGATAACAAAAACAATTTGGCACCAAATATGTAAGGTTAAATAAACAGAAACCAAAAACTAGAAGTACTCATTGGAGCTTGTAGCACAGGCTAAAGACAACAGTTTTGCCTGTCTTGATGCTTAATTTGAAGGAAACTTTTTTTTAAATTCAAGTCTGCATGATGGACAGGCATGTTACAATACATATAGGTGACAAACTCTTTGAAGGGAGTGTGATCAGGTGGAACTAGAGCCATCAGCATACATATGGAACCTGACATCATGTCTTTGGTGTTGCATCCAAAGGATTACATGAAAATGAAAAACAGGAAAGGCCTTTGAAAGGGTAGATTTCTTGAAGGACTCAAGTAGTTACGGGACAAGGAAAGGAAGAAAAGAAGAACAGTGCAGGAGCCAAAAGGATTACCGATTTAAATAAAGTTATTGTTTTGACATTACTGAAAAATCACTTTCAGATTAAATACCTGGAAGATTATTAAACATGATTGCATTTTTCACATTTTTGCAATGTGTTTAAATATATATTCTAAAAACTATTTCTTAACCTATCAATTATAATAATTAATTGCACATTGCATCAAAGTGTACCCAACTTCATAAATTTAATGTTGATAGTAAATACCGAAACAATTCTTGCAAGTAAACAGTGCAATTCAATATTTGAATCTTCTGATTTAAAAAAACAAATCAGTCATGAGCCAGCAACATTCAAACTATTTCAATTGTTCGTTAGCTCTGCAAAATGAGGACTTAACAATGGCAGCTGGAAGTTTCAGGTGAATTTCTTAGTTTTGAAAAAAGAACCACAAGTATAAAATGCTAAATATTAAATGAATAAACCAAACATGAGAAGATTAATTTCCCTTGTTAGGCTTAATCTCTCAAAAATCAATGTTCTGTTATAAAGGCAGCGGTGGCAAGTCAGGTAGAAAAAAGGTAGTAAGAGTGCACAATATTGCTTGTGCTGAACAAAAACACTGTATTGATAGGAAACAATGCAATGGAGTCATGCTGGGAACCTAAATTCAAACATTAAACTCAACTTGCACAGATCAATAGGAAAAGAAGAAAGAAAGACAGGAAGGGAATCCTAATTTGGGATTAGAATGTGAGATGATCTGTTTTTGAATACCTGTCATTTTGCAGAGCACATGACTGAAATTTCTTTTTCCCTGCAAATGGAGTATTAGCTTTCAAACTGCCCTCAAGCATATGAATTTTAGAAGATGCTTTGAGAACACCAGATTCTATAATTTGATTGGAAATACTCAGCAGGTCAGACAGCATCCTTGGGCAGTGCAAAAGAGGCCCAGATATTCGGATGGCTAGACAGTCATTTCTGCTGCATAGACAGGAATCATCCACTGGGACACTGTAGGATTCTTGATGAAACAGAACCTGAAGGAACTGACCAAGAAATTGAAGATTCCGAAGGGCAATTTCCCTGCACTCGGAAGACAAAAGAATTCAGACAGTTCCACTGCAGTTGAAAGTTATCCAGGAACTGTAGGACAACTAAAAACCTAGTTTTACTCCTCATTAACTATTAAACTGACCCCCAAACTAGCACACTTGCTCCAACTACACCAGCTCCAGACCCTGACTGGAAACTCCTCCTCAACATGACCCCATAATTTCCTTTATCCCAAGACCCAACAGCACACTTCTCTTGCCAGACCCAGACACCATCCATTTTTGCTCCAGGCCCAATCAATTCTGCTCTCACATCTCATCCCAGGACACAACTTCACTATGAGCCCCAGAATCTAACAACCACCTCTCCCTCAAGTAAATGACAAACCACTGGGATCCGAAATCCTCACACTGTTAACCCAATCAGCTCCTACCTGCCATGTGAACCTACACTCACCTCTCTCATCACTGGGCCATACACCTCCTCTGAACCCTGCAGCACCCAATATCTCTCCCCATCCGACCTAGCCTAACTTACCTGGCCCCCTTGCCACCTTGTGCCATGGCAACTACCCATCTAGCATCCTAATTAACTAGCCTAACCTCTTAGTTATCCTTTGACAGGAGCTGTTAAAGTGGTGATATTGCTGCTAGACATTAAAGTACAACGATTACTACTGTGAAAAAGATGGCATGTTTTGTCGTTCTCCTGACGATCCTGCACAACATGACAGTTGGGTTTAACGTATGCTCTGCATTTTTGTAGGAACTGTGAATGAAATCTCCTGTCAGAAATGTAGAGCTCTTTCTTAACAGGGAAAGTAAGAACAATCTGACTATGATCGCTTCTCCTTGGAAAATCTGGCCCAAACTTAACATTTCAGGCTGATGACTTTTCAACAGAATTGGGATAAGTTAAAGGCATAATAGGGTTTGAGCAAACACTAGGTGGGACATGGACTTAGAAAGAATTGCGACTAGGTGGATGACAGGATGGGAGTTAGACGAAAGGAATGGTGTTGTGATAAGTGAAGCAGCAAAAATCTGCTGGGCGCAGATATGCTGCTATCTGAAGGCAAAGCTAAGAGTAAAACTGAAATGTACAGAGAAGAAGAAACAAAATGGGGAAGGGAAAACAGAGGCCTGAAATTGTTCAGCTCAATGTTAAGTCCAGCAGACTTTAAAATAACAAATTAAAAGATGTGTTGCTGTGTCTCAAACTTGCACAGGGATTAACTGGAGAAGTGTAGTAGGCCAAGGCCAGAAATGCAAGTGTGAGGGCATGGTGAAGAATTAAAATGACAGGCCACCTGAAGCTTTGGGTCATGCTTGCAGATTGAATGGTGGTATTTTGTAAAGCAGTCACCTAATATGCTTTTGGTCTACCAATATAGAGATACCACATTGTGAGCTGTAAATTTAGCAAATACACTGTTTTAACTGGAAGGAG